TTAGATTTATTGACCTTAAATTCTCACAACATTAATTAAGATTTTATGATCATTTTTCGTCATATATAGTAGCAGGTAGCTTGTAAATATTACATTAATATATAATTACATGAAAATCTGAACTTTTAGTTCTTATTTATTTTGATGAATGGATTTTCATCAAGTAAAAGCCACCTCAGTTCAATTTATAATTAATTAGGTATTTTACGGACGGGAGTAGAAAAAAATTATTATCTTAAGATCATTCTTCCAGCCACTCAACGTTAATAATTTTTTAATAATAAAAGTCTAAATGTCATTACTCGTAGTTTGTTTAGCACAATCATCCCAACAAATGGACCTTATTTTGTTTCCCAAGTACTAGAACTGAACTGAATTCAAAATATTTATTTTTGTTATTATACACTTCAATCGCGTTATAAGTAAAGTACCTCTCAAATTTACAAGAATTATGCAGGGCATATTTAGAATGTTTTTCTAAAAGTATCTTAAATATAACAATGTATATACCATCAAACTTTCACAAAACATAAATAAACAACTGTTCTGGAATTTTTGAAATCTTGTAACAAAAAAATACAAACAATGATAAGATGGATGGAATTCCTACTATATGCTACTAGTAACTACGTGTGAGATGTACGGCTATTTTTTTTTCAATGTAAAAGTTTATAGAATTAATACTACTATGGGAGCTTACATATTTATTAAAAATAATATAAACTAAAAATGAGATAAAACGTATTTACTTATAAATTTAAGAATCAGTTATGCCTAATATTTCTAAGTAATTGAATTCAAATAAATAAATGAAAGGAGCACGCCGCTGAGTTTCAGCACGCCCCACTACATATCTGTTACGCGCTATTTACCAAATTGGGGAACCCTTTTGGTTTCTTAAGTTGATTCCGGGGATACGCAGCGCAAATCTTGATGTAATAAAAACGATTTTCAACGACGAAATCCAAGCGAAGATATTTTCGCGTTTCGGACGACTTCTTTTCACGAACCGCACTGATATCAAAAAGTTATACGGCCGGGATTAGACGTAATGAGAAGGAAAAGCAACAGGAAGGAAGAATCGGGACAGAAGTAAGAGGATAAAAGACATGATAAATATTTATTATTTGTATAATTGTCTCAAGTTAATGCTGATGGATATCTTAGATTTTTGTTCTTTGGGGGATTATTTTGGTTTTATTATCACGGAAAGGAACTAAAATTTACGACGCCAAGTTTTTTGTTAACGACGAACTGCTATTCAACAATGCTTACGCTTGTAAGCAGTCGAAGAAAATTTAATTTGATTTTCGTAACGTTAAGGTACTTTAAATGACCTGCTCCTATTTTTAATTACAAATTAAACAATGGAATTACTTAACGATTAAAGCGGAAACATGTTATTAAATTTCCCCTAGAAGTTTGCGTCTCTATTTGAACAGGGAAGTTCCTTAAAAGTCTTTGCCAACTAGCATTAGCCCTTACATGCCAAGTTCGGCATAGCCCGTGTTCGTCGTACATCTAAAACTGATCGATCTTAAATGACTGTATTAGTGAAGTAAAGGTATAAGACGACCTCCTTTATGCCCGTCTAACTAGCGTATTAAGGTAATTTGCGTAGAGGCAATTAAATAATCCCTTCAAAGCCGAACTTAGACGAATATATACCTTCGGGAATACGTTTAAAATTTATGCATAATACAAAGGAACAAAAATTTCCTTCGGATAATGGCTGGAGATATTGTTTGATCCTTCTCTCTGAAGGGAACGTAACCATAGAGTCGGTTACTATCGTACGCTTTTGCCATTAAGCACGTACCAAACGTCAGATGCTGTTTTACGTAAAATCAACAACAACTGAAATGAATCGAATCGAATGTTTCGTTTAAATATAATTTTAGCATCATTTAGACTTAAAGTAATCACATTTTCAGCGAAAAAACAAATGCAAATGATTATATCACGCAATTTTATAGGAAATGGCTGAGTTTTATGCTTAAAAATGCTTTATTTTATTTACAATCATTATCATACGAATGAAATCCAAAAGATATCAGTTGAAGACTTATATCAGAAGTACTCGCCGCTGGATGACGCAGAATTGTTGTTTGTCTTTCAGATTAGTTCATGAGTTTTGACCATTTAATTATAATAATATTAAAGGTATATTCCAGATCGTGGCCTGTTATCAACACAATTACCACAGCCCCAAAGCATCTAATATTTGGAAAAGAGGAACAAAAAACAAAACAAAATGAATAATAAAACAAATTACACTTAAACAGAGCAGACTCATAAAACCAAATAACATTTTTTATTCAAAGCAAGAAAGTATATGATGATTTTTCAAAGAAACTTCCACCGTCTACTTTAATACTTTTTACAAAACTTCTGGATTCCTAGTACGTCGGTTTTTGCTGAGTCGAAATCGCTGACGTTTCGCCAATCATCCCGTTGACTTCTTCATGGCTTGACTGAAACTGGCTCGTATTTTACTCTGTACCTGTTTATATATTGTTTGAGGAGGGCGCTAATGAGCCGCGGTTAAGATTGTTAAGTTGTTGTTTATGCCCCTCATTAACGCCTGCGTCAAACATTATACAAGCAGGTACAGAGTAAAATACGAGCCAGTTTCAGTCAAGCTCTGAAGAAGCCAACAGGATGATTGGCGAAACGTCAGCAATTTCGAATCAGCAAAAGCCGCTGCAAGAGGGATCCAGAAGTTTTGTAAAAAGTATTACAGTAGCCTATGGAAGTTTCTTTGAAAGAATAAAATTATTTTAAGTTTTGTAAAAAGTAAGTATACGATGAGTTGTGCATCCACCATTTCGTCAAGGTATCTTCTGCATTTGCTTTTCTCTCTATTAATTTTGAAATATTAAGCAATCCATCATAAAATACACCTCACCCTAATCTTCGAAAAACAATGAGTCCCAAAGTAACCCCACATATTAAAAGTTCTTAATATACGATAAAAATAACTTAAAATCCGATTTACCAGCGGTCCAAAAATCTCTCAACATCTTCGATCAGTCCAAGACAAAATTATGTTTGAGATACCAGTAGTTTACAGCGTTCCGTGAAAATGTGGCAAAGAATACATTGTAGAGACGGGACTAAAAATACCACCTAGACTTAAAGAACATGAACATAAAGAACATCAGCAGGTGATCAACATAATCATAAAACCGGACATCGAATCTTATTCGATAACACTAAAATTCTTACAAGTAATGACTTTTCTATCAAATAAAAACCGAGAATCCATAGAAAAGTATAAAGCAAAATATAAGCAAGGTCTTTTTCTTTCATAAATATGGGAACCTTAAGGTACCTTAAGGTTCCCATATTTATCCCGATATGCGACTATTTTTAATTTATGTCGAATTTCTTAATAAAAACGGAAATAGTTTACACACCAATTAAAACGAGTTTTCAAAAAAGATATTTAGTTTTGGTTATTTTAGTATATAATAATAATAATAAGCATGTAATGCTCAAAAGGGAAGGAAACAAGAAATTATAAATAAACATCTTTTACCCTATACTTATTTTGTGCGAAAGCGTCTTAGTATACCAATTCAATTAGTAAAAAGGGGAAAACATTAGGCAGAAATAGAACCCGTTGTTCTTGGTTTAATAAGTTAGCTAATGAGATATCAAAATCTGAGTGCATTTGGAGCACGTCATACTCAAACAACAAGATGCTATTGACGCAAAAAATAAGGCGAGAGTTAAAAACATCCTTTACGGAAATATTCAAATAATTCAACCCAGAAACTGGGTATTTGAGATAATCTGTCGTCCCGACTTTTTAAGTAAATAAACTAGCTCATATATTATACATGATAACGGAATCGTACAACCTTCTGCATACGATATTAGCAGTATCGCGAAATAGCCCCGACAGATTTGTGATTTACGAGAAAAAATACGTGCTTAAGTTTCAGCCAACCCCATAAGAATCTCCCAAGATTCGCAACCCTCGATTTTCATTAAGATTTGTGGATTTAGTACCTGCGGTTCTGTGGCGTATCAAACCCATTAACTTAATATTCGGATTATAAATTTACATCCGCCGTGTGTGGCTTACAAAAGGCCCCAAGGTAACGTTTAAGTTAAGTTGGGTTAGTTGGTCGTAGGTGTCAGAAAAGTTTTACTATAAAAACTAATAAAACTAGCTGACCAAAACCCATCAGACAGAATTTACCTATTTGAAAGCTAAGGGTCTGGTGGTTGCTATAAAGTGCGTTTCAAAAATATAGGCCAATTATTGTGCATCAAATAAAAAAAAGCGGATTGTAACAAACTTTATTCTTCTTTTTTATATTCGTCAAAAATTGTCGAACCAAAATTATCTTGAGTTGCGTGAAAGACTTAAAATAGTTTTAAACGATATACCACCGCGGTGTATTAATAATAATTAATAAAGAGCAATTTTTCTTAGATATTGATATGAAATATAAAAGCGCGCCACTGTTATGACGTGCTCCGACTTGAGCCCCTATAATTTATTACACGGGGGTTGCTTAATAGACTTCTCTTATGTCAGAATCTTTAAGTTTTGATTAACGAGATAAAAAATTAACACGGACAAAAAAAAACAAAAATCTCGCCTTCATCACACTTACTTCAGGGCTGTTTTAAACTATCGACTGCGAATATTTGACCTACATATTCATCTTTCGCCATAATATTCGTTTCCTCAGTGCCTAGTCGGTAAACAATGGCGGAGAATGCAACTCAAAATGTCAAACCGATTATGTAAAATATAACCCGGTCTAGGCGCACAGAGAGTGCAAAAGCTTTTGTTTCAGCTTGTCGTGAGGGTTGTCGATAAATGGAACAACTTTTCTGTATTACGTCCAAATCGAAAATCGAAACAACGAAGGGAAGGCGATACGTCTTCTCCGAGTCCATTCTTAGAGACCATTGTCCGAACGGGCAACCTGTCAAATGGACCGTCTTTATCAGCTCGATGTATTTGGTTTGTATTGGCGAAGTTCAGACGCAACAGGAAGGAAACTTCTACTTCTTACTCGAGAAAATACAATACTAAGCAACATCCAAAAAGGTTTACTTCATAAAAAATACATAAATAACTTATCTACACTTCTAAAGTATATCGAAGTTTAAAAAAAAATGCTTGCAGTGAAATAGCAAAAATTTGTCAATTTAATGATCAATCTGTTGTTGAGTAACCGCTGTTAAAAATAAACGAGAGCTATTTTATTTTAGATAAAGATACCGATGGAACGTCTCTTCCATTATAATAAATATATTCAGTGTTGACGAAGTATGGCACAGAATGTAGAAGTGAAGAAAACGATTGTCAACATTGTCCAGACATATTTACTTATTAATATTAAATTATAACCCATTAAAGAGTACCAATAGTATTCGAAAGTTCTATAGTTAAGGGTTCAAAAAACAAATTTCCTCCATTTTCCTAACACAAACATGCCAATCTAGTTGTAGACCTTAAAATACGACTTAATACTTCATTAATACTTACATTTCACGTAAGACATTTTTTTTTATTTTTCTGGTTTCTTCATCATATTGATCATTAAGTGGAAACAACGCTCGGTCGTTTGACGCTAGAGAGCTTTCACCACAAGCTAGTAATGCAAAATGTCATGACTGTATATACAAAAGTTTATGCTAAAACTCCGTTTCTGTTATTTGGTTCACTACTGGTGGCTTTGGTGCCGCTCTGTTTACTTGATATCTATGGCTAGACCCGTTAGAATTTTCGCCTTCAAGGTGCCTTTCCAGATCCTTAACTCTCTGAGGCCTATTCAGGGTTGAAAAATCTGAATCGTGATCGTCGCCCACGTTATTGGCAATGGCAGACAATGACGAATCAGTCGACAACGCGGAATTGTTGGAATTAGAAGTTCTGGACGTCGATTTTGTCGATCTGACCAGGCCGGACTTTAAAGGTGGAACTAAATCGCCTTCGCTTAAATAAGCATTAATTCTATCCTCCTTGCTTGATCGATTTGCTAAAGTATTCAGTCCGCTATCGCTTTGTTGCTTGGTTCTCAGTAAGACGTCGCTAGGTCTTGAAATTAGAGCTTCGCTATCTGGCGAAGCTTGGTTTGAAGACTCTGGATTATGGATAGCTTGCGCGTTTGCTCCAGTTCGTCTTAAAACTCCAAAATCGACATCGGATTCCGGTTTGGATCTCGTATCAGTATACAATTCCAGATTTCCTACGAGGAACAAAAGTACCACTGACAAAATAATCGCCGCCGCCATTAGAGCCAACGTAGCCGATGCCAGGAACGTGGCGAACGATTCAGAATAAAACTGGCAACTGGTCTTACCGAAAAACTGACAAAAACTTCCTAAAAAAACGTTATTCGATTAACAATTCAGATTTCGTATGGGGGAGTTGATATACCCGCTATGACGTCATACGTAGGCCGGATAATCAAATACGGAACGTAACCTAGATGCATCAAATACATTCCCAGCGCCAAAGCCTTATGTTTACTAGAAACGCAACGCATGGTAATCACGATACTGGTTAAGGTGGTAGTCGCTAACAATGCCGACGAAAAGACGCTATTTACTTGAGCTATAGCCCATATGGTGCTACAACTATCGGCATCACAAGAACCGGCCTTAGCTATTCGTCTGCCGGTAGTACCACACGTACAGTTTTCGTAAATCTGCGAGGCGAATGCTATAGGATAATAAAGTTAAACCTCCATTACTTACTTTAAAAGTCGTATCGAACGATGAACATCCGGCTAAGCAGGGTGAGAAATATGTATCGCCATTAAGGCAGACAGGTTGAAAGGGACCGTCCAACGAGCATCCACAATTCCAGCTGCAATAGGGGATGGTAAGACGATCCCGCAATTCGCTTTGCAGCTCGTTGGTGCACTTCCAAAATCTCACACTGGCAAAGAACAACGCCATAAGGATAAATACGCCTATATTCCAGCAAACGAGGTATTTGGCTCTAGGTCGTACTTTCGCTATAACCACCCCTGTAGTCAGCAATGATATAGCTATCAACGGCTGTTTTAGCAAGTTCGTAGTGAGTTGTATTAAAGTGGGATCGCTGTATCCGGAGGAATCGTTATATTTCGATACGTGGTATCTGGATTGGCTGAAGAACTTCTCGAAGATCGTAAACGTTATGACAGCCGATTGCATCAGCACTAACGATATTATGTTGACGAACAATATTTTGTTCCTGATTAACTGGAATACGCTTTTAAAAAAACCTGTAAGATGGAACAAATAGATGGGTCGTAACTGCAGCTGAGAATTTGCTCACCATCATGGCGTTTTACGTTCTCTTTCATGGTGTTGCCCGTAGCGACCGATAATAGAGATATCACCGATTTTCGCAAAAGTACATTCGGTAAAACTTTCGGAAACATGGCCACGATGCAGCCCAGGAAAAACGTCAATATCGCAATTGTGAGCCAGACTGAAATTCACTGGATGCATAACGATCAAAAAACGTTGATATCTTATATACCTGGAGATACGAAAATACTCTCCGAAGTGAGAACATACGGAGCCCAAGAACTGTAGATTCCTACTTGTTTGCCCAGTCTTTGAGCGGCCAAGACCAATCCTGCAACCAGTTTCACACGCCGAGTTTTTGTATATATATTTCGTTTTTTTAACTTACCAATAAATCCGGGACTATGTTTAAATGATACGTTATCGTCCACATACGTCAAACCATGACAAAAAAATGAAACTGTGCACAGGGCGAATACCATTTGATATACTACTAGGATTACGAAGGCAACTATTTGAAATCCGTAAAATGTGTCCTGAATGTTTATTAATTTCGCAAAAGTCGATGCGCTACATAAAACGCTACCTAAAAATTACTTGGTGAGGAGTTCTGAGGGTACAAGCATTATTTAAATAAGTAAAAAATAAAATATTTACGTTAATGTTGGTAGTTAATTATTTTTATACCAGGAAAACATCTTTTTTAATGTTATAAAAAATATTACTAATAACTAACTTAAATACTTCAACCAGGCTTGGTGAGCGTAAAGTATTGAAAAAATATCTTGTCATATTATTTATTTAAACGTTTTAACAAAAATACTTCGGCTGGGAAACTGTTTATTTATGTAAACAAATTCTATGACTATGAAATTCTTTGCATTTTTCTAAAGAAATTTAATTACGAAAAATTGTATGTAAAAAAATTAACATATCTGCCACTTTTACTAATTTACTGCACAGTTTTTCAAAGAAACTTCGAATATGTTAAGAGATTTTTGGACAAGTGGCAAATCTGGTTTTGACGTTATATTTCTTTAGAACTTTTGATGTGGTCAGTGATGTTTTGAATGTAAAGAAGGACAACAATGGCAAGTGTGAGATTGCTTTCGGAATCATTGCTATTGGATGGTTGTGGTGAAGTGTATTTTGTGATGGAATTCTTAATATCTTTAATGTGGACGGGCTGACATAGTTTAACGGCTCTGTAAACAAGAGAGTTGATAACCGGATGATTTTTGGGCCGGATGGTGATGTGACAATACATTAAGGTATCGGTTTGTGTACGTAGGTTTTCTGTAAACACAATGAGGCATATATTAGGTCTGATTTTCTATTCATAAGAATATCTAAGAATGGAAAGTTATTATTATTTTCTAATTCAATGGAAAAAAGTATGTTAGGGCGTATAAAGTTTAAATGGCTAAGAAAATCTCGGAGGGCGATGAGGCCAAATCAACGTAGCGTTTCCATAATTTTGGTTTGAGATGGAAGATGTCGGAGCTTTCTTCTCAAAGGCTTCCATAAATATATTCGCAATGGCAAGTGATAGTGACTCGGGAATCAGTCAACCTAGATGGTGTTTATGCCCCCTCAAACAATATATAGGGAGGTCCAGAGTAAAATGCGACCCAGTTTCAGTCAAGCTCTGAAGAAGCCACCAGGATGATTGGCGAAACGTTAGTAAGTTCGACTCAACAAAAACCGACGCAGAAGGAATCCAGAAGTTTTGTAAAATGTATTATAGTAGCCTAAGGAAGTTTCTTTGACAAATTCACTTAAAACTTCTTTGGTGTAATGGTTATCAAGCAAAAGCAAAATCTTTTCTGCCCTTTGTTATTATTTTTAAAAGAATAATAGGCAATTATTTATTTGTTTTATTTCAATTATTATTATTATATTTAATTTAACCTTATTTTGCAGTTCTGTTAAATCAAATTTTCGAAGCCTAGGCATTCATTTTTTTTGTTCATGACCTACAGAACCTACAGTTATAATTAATTTAGAGTATTTACTATTTACTATGCTGTAGTAGGCTTGCTATTGTACTAGAAACTTGACTTTTTTTAGCTCGCGCTAGATGTATTTACTAATTCGTAAATGTAGCATCATACTTTTCGAATATATAAAATCACTTTTCTTTTGGAAAAGAAAAAAATCAGTGGAGTGCATTTTAGCAAAAAATCTTATCAAATAATTAATGTTTTGCTAATATATTCGTAAAAAAAATATTTTTGGATTTTGGAAGCCTTTACAAACATATAAAAACAAAATTTTTCTTGCGAAAATGCATCCGGTTTTAGAATAACCGATAACAGTAACATTAAAACAAAACTAACCAATTTTTTTTTGCTTTAATCTAAAGTTATTTCTAAACATTGCAGTCATTTCCAAATTCAAATCCAAAATGTAACTGATTTTAGCTGTTCTAAAATTCATTCTTCATAAAATTAAAATGCCATATTTCCGAAGCAAATTTTTGATGTTTCGATGATTAGAAAAACATTTAATATTCACAGCAAACGTCAGTTTTAATGTTAATGATTTCGACTATTCTAAAAGCAAGGAAAATTTAAATGATAGATTTCCGAAAAAAATAATTGTATCTCTAAAGTTGCGAGCTATATATTTCTCAATGAAAATACGTCCAAACTGGTCAGTCTGATCTCATTAGGAACATGTACATTACCCGTTATGGCACTTATGTCAGTTTCGTTTCCGCTAAAGGGTTGATGTATCTCTGGAACTCCTAATGTAAGGCAGCAAACTGACAAATAAATAGTGAGGGCACCTAACCAAGTAGCTCTATGGATCCTATTTCCCCAATAGGCAACTACCAATGCGAATACGCCGACAAATATCTCGTTCACGTAGATTAAGTGATCTAAAACCCAGAACGGATTATTTATTATCTATAAATAAACTCCTATACGTATACCTATCTTTTCAGCGGTGATATTGTAATGCTTGCTCCATAAATGGGCAGTGCCTCGAAAATATTTTAGAACCACTCCGTTAAAGAAACCAACCAAAGACAACACTGTCACGTAAACACCAAATTTCGCGTACTTTTCCAAATTCAATTTCTGCGTTAGACATGGCAACGCCTTAAATCCGCAATCCAAATCATTTTTGTAATCACCGACGGGTGCGACAAAACTGCCCTCACCCACGGACTCCGTCCTCAAAAGTTCCGTGGGATGTACCATCACTTTTTAAGAATTTGATCATCGGTTTCATAGTGCCGCAAAACACAATAATCTTATGAAAGATAAAAAGTGATAAGGTAGTTTGTGTTTATCTAAATTATCCTTATCAGTTACCTACTTTTATATCGAAATTCGCATTGGTACCGACACCGATAGACCGGCAGCTAGCTACATACTTTTTGTTTCTAACCTGTTTGTATGAAATATTTAGGGGAAAATGTGGGACTTTGCAAAAACATCCTGGTACGCATGCTAATTTTTTTCAAGAGCTTTTATCAATGTACTCGAATGACATCATCCGAATTAAACCAAACAATCCAAAGTCGCTCTCCCAAAATACACATTTTATTAGATACATTCATTAATTTTAGCGAAGGGGGTTGTTCAAATATTTGCCTTTTTCGTAATACTTAAGTGGAAATGAAATCAACCAAATCCTTTTATCTCTTAATTCTATCCCATCTTGAAAAAGACACTCGGCCTCCGATCTCCCCAGTCGAATTTATTAGGGTGAGGCTCTCTATATTGCTCTATGTCCCTTGCCACTTCATTACTTTATGAGATGGCCATTTAAAAAATGATAAGATGCGAAAAATTTACTTCGGCCTTAATAAAAAAAATTGATACCGCGTTCAAGCAAAACTTTGTAGTTTAAAGGCCAAACTACTAATAATTAGCATATTACTATATTGTTAATAAATTATTTTAGGCACGCGCAAATTCGTCAACAGAGGCCGCCAAAACACGGAATTTAGTTCCCGCAATTAAGATCGAAAATAAAACCACCTTTGTAATGTTCGCCACGTCCACCGGCAGATGGCGCCCAAAGCATCGCCCTTATGCGTAATTACGACTCTCACCCAGGTATCTAATTTAAAAAAAATATATTTCCATAAGGGTATTTTCGAAACACCCGCATTGATGGAAATCGACTTTCACGGCGAATTTCACTAGCAGCGTTTAGTTCGCCACAAGCTGCGAACAGAAAATGTTTTATTAACTACAAAGAAATTAAAATGGATAATTCGTCAAATACCGGTAAGTTAATTCTGTACAATTTTAAAGTTGACGCACGCATATATATCTTTAGATATTTGCCAATTGGTCTAAGGGTATACTTCTTGTTTATAAACAACTTTGTTTCATTTTTACTTTGTTTCCATATTTTGTAACTATTTAAATAAAATGTAACTCTTCGATTGGTATTTTCATTGATAATTTTCTCAATAAACTATATTGACTTGTATATTATACAGATTGTTTTGAAATTAATGGATTAAATTTTTATTGCGTATTCTACGTCGCAAATAGGCATCAGTTTCCTATATAAACATATGCCCGCAAAAACTTCCGTTCCAATATACAGGGTATTGAAATTTTAAGAAAAATGATATTTTTTATCATAACTTTCAAACCACTCTAGATATTTCATTGACAATTGGTACGCTACTTCTATGTACCAAAAGATATTTTTTGGTGCGAAATATTTGTAAATATCTTTCGATAATAATAGTAAAATGACCAACCCAATTTGAAACTTTCGGAAAAAAATAAAGAGCCAAAAGTCAAGACCAATTTTGACAACATTTGGTTGTGAATCGTAGACACTGAAAATAGAGTTAAAGGGCAATAAAATGGACAAAATGAGAAACATGAAAATAAGAAAGGACCTACAAGTACAATCGCACATAAATATAAATACCAGACAAGTGAAACAGGTATGGGAATCAAAAAGAAAAAAAAGCAAGATCTCCGAGATTGTGCAAAAAAAAGAACACTTGGGAAGAAACAAGGAATATGGCAAAAAATAAAAAAGAATGTGCAAAATGTTTAGATGAAGATTAAACCAGTGATACTCAAAAACAATTTTGAAAGTATAAAAGTGGTATTATTAGTAGTAGTAATAACAATAATAAATTATATAGCAAGGGTTTTCATGATAATATAAATAAATATATAATATTTTAACACAATTTACTTGAAAACGCATCGTTTGGAAAAAAAGTTCAGAGCTCAAATTTGTGTTAAAGTGATAATTCAAAAACAATTTTTATTTTAGAAAAACATTTTTTAATTTTCGTTTCAAATCTGCTACCGATGTCACTGGTACATTTTAAAAATATATATTTAGCACCAAAAAATGTCTTTTGTTACTTGAAAGCAGTGCACAAAATTCCAATAAAATATCCAGAACGGCGTGAAAATTGTGACAAAAAAAATATATGTTTTATTATAATTTCAACAACAAACCTGTATCTCGGAAGAGTAGCGGTTACCGACATATATTTAGCTTATTTTACACGTAGAAAAGACCATAAACATTTGGTGCGTTAATTTTGGAACACCCTATATATATTAAATAAAAGTTAAATCGGGTAATAGGAGCCATTCAGAAATTATTGGTCCACGCGTCCATTGGTCATAAAATATTTTTTCACTGTAGCCTACGTCACTGGTCGAATTTTAGTATAATTTATGGTGTTCCAGAACAACACGAAAAGAAAATAAAGGGCCAGTATGGACAGGATAAAAGGGAATATAATCATATAATTATTATACAATTATAATACGCACTCGGGCTCTGTCTTAGATTAGATTAGGCCACTTGACTAATGGTTAATTACAGTTTTAATTCAATTTAATTATATTTATTGTTAATTATATATTTTTTTGGCATTCTGAAAAGTTAGATACTAATTAAAAAGCTATAGTCTTACAAGAAAAACATATATAAGACCAAAGTAGAAAAACCTATTGAACTTTAACTTTTAATATTCCGCTGTCAGAAAAGTTTGGTTTAAACATGGGAGGTGCAGAAAATATCAACTTAAAAAAATATAGGTTGAAGTCTCAATTAAAGCCAATAGAATAGAATAGAAACGCCTTTATTGTTAACTCGGTGAAGGGCAGCATTCCTTGCTTAACCAAGCATTCATAAGTTACAAAACATAACTCGGCGAATATAAATTAACTGAGTTACAATTATTCCATTACTAACAATAAAACGTCGTAAGAATCGACAATTAAAAATTAATAATCTTCAGTTAAAAGTTACAAAATACAAGTCGTATTCACATGATAATGATCTTTTTATAATTTGGTTGGGTACTATTGTGCCACGCGCTAGTTCAGTAGAGTAGCTAATTCTAAGCTAGACTGCGCCAGTCGACAGTACAACTAATCTGTATTGTCTGTATTGTAATCTGTATTGTATGTTTGTTATGCTATTAGCTGAAATAAAAGTAGCTTATTATTATTATTATTGTTGTGTTGTTTTGTGTATAGGTGCCTCCAGATTCGAGGTAAACAATCGCCAGGCAAAATTTTTGGGTCCATTGCTCGGACTATTCCTAGCGAATTTCTTATCGAACTCGGTACTGGCCAAATTTTCCCCGCTAGGATCGATCCGGTTGCAATACGACCCTTTGCCTCTCGTAAACCACCAGCCTTCGATAAATATCTATCAACCGACAGAGGGACCTACGTTTCATCCCATCACCCAGAGACCGGTGGATTCCCACCATATAGAGTACGAACCGATGGTAACTGAAGAACACAACCACTCTGGGATTACCGTCACGAATATTCATGAACCGGAGGACTATATAATACCGGAAGAATCGAAACTTGTCAAAACTCCGGTAAAAAGAGGAATATATTATAGAGACTCTGCGTCTTTTAGACGAAACCGATATTCAACTAGAAGAAGGTACACTACTCCCGATTATTTTGGAGATGATAGTTACGAAGATTTTACCACGCGACGATACAAACCGAGAAGAAGGAATAACGGTAAACGCCCGCCCAATTTCGATGACGAATATTACGATGAGTACGAGTACGACAATAGAGTAAGAAATAAGCTGAGACGCAACAGGAACAAATATAAAAATAGGAGACAGCAGATAGATCCGGATTACTATAGCGAAGAAAATTATAGAGACGACGTAGAACGCATCACTGTGCGGCCAAGGCAACAGGCACCTCCGACGACCACCATGAACAACACGGATGCCACCACTCCAATGACTAATATCACTACCGGAGTGCCAGAAAACGGCACTAATACTACAGCGACCCCTACAGGTTACGGTGAGATACGAGATACTAATACATGATTTAGTTCAACTTTTATTTCGTATTCTTTAATCAGAAACTACTTTTCTTCAATGTGGAGACAAATACTTTTGCTCATAAATATTCGAAGTTCCTTTATAGATCTAGAAAAAAATATTGCCTTTTATCTTCAATGGTTCCAGTACCTTAAGAATTGGAAATATGGTTTAAGTATATCAAGACAACAAATATTTAAACCCCTATTTACCAATTTAAAACTTGATAAAATCTATTTAGCAGCAATTCACCATCAAAAAATTCAAATATTCTGTTAAATCAAAATCCCTAGAATATTTTGTGTTTGCGTAACACTCTAACTTAGTGTATTAGTCTGACAGTTGTCAATGTTTTTATTGAATGCATTTTGCATTGCTGTGAAAATGTTAAAAGAATGAACAATTTCAAAAGACGATAGTGACATTTTTCACAAAGTTCACAGGGTTGATTGCAATAATTCACATACAAATTCAATTACAAATTCGTTGAAGGTTCGGTTATTGGATAATTTCAGTAGAATAGGTAGTAGAGATTGATTGCTTATATTATTTACAATAAATTATTTTAATCACATTGCGCATGCCATTCTGCATTCTAAAGAATAGTTCTTACTTATAATAACCAAAAATTGATTGAACGACTATACAAACAGAAGAGAAAGTTTTAAATCAACTGAGAGTCATTGTAGAAGCGATTTCATTAGAGTTCGAAAATAATTACGACACTGCGATGCGATTTAGTTCAATTACGGAAATTTATCACGGACTGGAAATAACATATGTATTTAAGGTTGTGAGTTATTTGATTAAGTTGATAAGAGTGGAATTACCTTTACTTATTATTCCGGGAAGTTGAGCGAGCTCATAGAAATTTAATACGGCTTCTCTTTTCTCTTCTTAATTTCGAGGCATTTCAATTAAGTGAAATAATGCACCAATATTTCTATATGATCCCGTTGTGATTTATTTTGGAAAATGTTTGGTTTTTATTATCAGTGAGCTCCAAAACATTGTTTAACGTAGGAGCAAGTTGACAATAAAACTTTTAGCTATTCTAAATCGTTTTTTACATGAGTCGTTATTTAATTCATTAAAAAAATCATTGCGTTCCCTTATCAGACGTCTTCTTGGTGGATCAGAACTGAAACGTTTCAACCAGTTTTGTATTTTATAAGAAAAATGCATAAAACCAAAACGTGACGAAAGTCGACTTTATCGCCTTGATAAATCTGTTAACAGTTCAAAATTAATCTGACAAAGTTTCAGGCGGTAATTTACGATGGTGAATTTTCTAATGCTTATGTTCCAGGTTACGGACCATCGAACGGCAACGAAAACATTAGCATCACCTACGGGCCACCATACGCCCAAAAACCGATTTACGGCCCACCAAGCGCTATAGCCGGTTCCCCCATTAGTGAATGGCGACCCAGCACACTTTACGGATTTTCTAGCAGTGCCGGCGGATTTTCCGGATTGTATGGAACACCCAGTGTGTCTTACCAAGCTCCGAGCACGTCGTATGGTACCCCGGCGAGCAGTGGCAGCTATGGACCACCTAGTACGTCTTACGGCACTCCGATCTCGTCGTACGGTAAACCCAGTACTGGATACGGCGCTCCCAGTACCACTTATGGGTCACCTAGTGCCAGCTACGGATCACCTAGCACTTCGTACGTTTCTTCCAGCGCTACATATGGCTCACCTAGCGTTAATTACGCTTCTTCCGGATTAACTGGGATACCGAGCGGCAGCTACAGCAGCTATCAGCTGCCGTACTCTAGCTGGTACGGCAAAGCGGCGTCGCAAAATGATATCGCGAGACGAGCGCAGGAGATAATTGGTTTTGATAGATAGTGCTCCAGTCATTAAGAAGTTTTACTGAGTTTTACGGGTGGAGGCATTTGCAAAATATACGTCGTTGTGCGTTTAAATATAAATTACAACGTTGTGACAATAATCTGGGCGTTTGAATTGCAACTTCCTTGCCAGCTATCCTTGCGCATGCCAAAATCGATTTCTGTGGTATAGCAGTATTTTGGCAGAGCGAAATAACTCGTAAAGAATTAAAACAAAAACGATATGGGCATAATAAAAAAAAAGGTAGGTAGATAAAGAGATAGCGTCAAATTGCCGAGTAGAATACGTCCTTCGTACAGTTCATGCATTATCAACATTTATATCTAAGTGTTAAGCACGAACAGTCGCTAAACAAAAGCATTGGCCACAGTGTAATTTTATATGGCAAATAAACGTTACTCTTCGTACGATGAAATTTTTCATACTGACAATTTCATACCGGCTCGGTTAATGTTTATATAGGTTCGCCAGTTATGTTAGAAGTCATTAACCAATTTTCGGAAAAGTATGACCGTATCCGGATATTATTACCGGTAAAAGCCGACACGAATGCCCTACAAGTTTAATTATATAGGCATTAGATGTGTGGGCTGACCACCACGTAGCGGTTAAATCGACTTGGGGGTAAAAAGCAGACGAAATTTTCTGTTTCTAATCACGCGTCAGGCGAATCAAAACAAACTCACAAACAAACGACATACCCGCGTTGTAATCATTGCGTTTGAATAAATTAGAAGTTAAAAGTATAATGAAAAACGGTTATGACAGCGGTTTAATCAATCTAAAAGTCCATCAAAACGTCTTTCAAACAAAGGAACCACTATATTAAACAATATATCATTTTCCTAATGTTATTTTAAATTGATGGAAATAATATTTGAATATACAGAAGTCAAAATGATCGAAAAATCGCAGTGCCTCAAAACAAAACGTAATCGAAGGAACTGTTATAAAAATTTTACGCTCCTATCAAATTTGTTTAGAGCTTGCCAATATGTAGTTTATTTTAAAGAAAATGCTCTAAAAATAGTAAGACCCCCCGCTAGATCGTATCATACACTACGTCTCTCTTTTGATAGTATTAAATTACCAGATTAATGCAGATGGAGCAAACATCAAGCGGGGTATTCATTTTTCTGTTGCCACTAATACCGACCGATAAATGTACTTTAATTTTGCCAGGATTCCAAAATCTCTGTCGTACCCAAAAAACAGGCAAAACATTTAGGTCAGCTGACCGAATAGCGGCTAATTAACAAAAAGAAATATTAAAAAATATATTATTTCACTACGGAGGCCTTTCGTCTGATAAACGAGCGACAGCTGTGTTACTAATATACCCAGTGGCGTGGTTTTTGGTTCGTAAAATCCAAACCGCTTATGGTTGATTCCCAAGACTGATATAACCTAAATCATGCTACCGACACTTCTTTCTTCCATATTTATTTGCAAAAGTTGCATTTATCCTTCCATTATAATACATTTTTATTTTTCAGAACCTAAAAACATTTGCGAGATATTTAAGCTTTTATTTACTAAATCAATTTTAAAAGGATAAGGACAACTGTTAATGATGTACCGTGTGGAACGTTTATTATCTCCGAATTCTAGACATTTTTCATATATATTATTCTATACTTTACCGTTTCTGATATAGTTTGAATTTTGTCAAAAGTTTCGTTTGCAGTTCTAAATATATCTATCCATTTGTCCTACTGGAGGCCTCTGTTATATATTTGGGATTGATTTCCGTATAGAAGGAGGATCTACTTTACTAGTCTGTGTTGATATTATAAAAATAAATAAATGCTGACTGATCAAAGAGAGACATTAATAATTTAATCGAAAAAATGGACCCTCTTTCCAAATAGAAACACCCCATTTTTTATGTTTTTATCGCATTTGGTATTTTAAAAAAGGGTAACTTTGTATAACATTGCCTATTTATTGTTGTATTTTTCGAACTATTAGCAATAAAACGATGTGGAACCTGCTATTTACTATCTAACAATTTACTTTAAATTTTATAAATCATCCAAGGAAGTTAACTAATTAACACAGAAGTGAATTGAATTTTTTTAAGTGCTAAGAATGAATCAAATTTTATTTGAAATATTTTGACATTTGCTGAAAACTATCCAGACATACAAAAGACTACAAGAAACAAATAAAAGAAAAATTTTAAAATTTTATTTGGGGTTAAGCAATTAATAAGACTAACATATACTTTTTCTGGATAAACTATATTCACCAGATCAAAGCACAAAGAGCAAACACATTTTGAAAAATATGTACATCAAAACTTCAAGATGATTATCAGAAAAATATACACAAACGTATTATTAGGAAATATACCAAAGCATCATTCTCAAATATTTGCTTGAATATTGTCATGTGATGCTAATTTGTGCACTTCAGCAAGTGATGCACAGCTTCTAATAAATTTCTGAAGAGTCATATTTATTTCAGCCATTAAACCGTAAAAAGAAATCGTTGAAAGGCACTAATCGTAATCTCATGCTTAACATGAATTAAGATTGTGTTGCTTAAAACGAAACGGGTCCTGGGCTTTAATGATCAGAAACAATATTTTTCTAGAAATGATATTTTACTATCAAATTATTAGCATTGTTTTGATGTTTTAAATATTTAGATTGAAGTAAGAAAAAATTGTTCGATAGTTAAATTTCGTAAAATTTCTATTTATCACATAACAAAACTAGCCAAAATCTTGTTGTTGTTTCTTGTTGTACTCTTTCTTTCTATTTTTTTTTTACTTTCCCCCTATTATAATTATGTTTTCTTTTTGTGTTTAGGAGATTTTTAATTTTAAAGTAAGGTTTGTTAAGAAAATATCTCTAATTTACTTACTTTTATGTTAAGTTGGTTGGTTTTAATATTGTATATATTTCTGTACGCAAAAAATGAAGGTACTGTATTATTATTATAAAATTATAGACTTGTTTTACAACCTAACATTTTTGACACCCACCTAACGGTTAAGAATCTAAATTAATCAAATGCAAATCAAATTCGAATGCGCGCTCACCCTGTAGCGGCACAAATTTTATTTTTACAAATCTGGACCCCTCATTACTAAAGTGAAAAATCCTGGCAACGTTTGAGGATGCACCGAAAATAGATTTAAAATATCATGTTGGCCGCAAACGACGTATTACAATTCACACTTACTTTTTGACCAGAAATAATCAGAAGCACATTTATTTTAACTGGACGGAACATCGAAAAAAATATGTCATTGTTGAGGCGGCAAACCTTGGTATACGCCCGATCATTTGTAAAACTAAAAATAAATAATTTAAAACCGCTGCGCACTCGATAATTTACAAAAATCAAATTTTAAAATTTAATATTTAAGTCGCAACGGAAACAGGTAAGCGTGAAAACAATAAATTTAAAAAATCCAGAATAGCTGTTAAATTGAAAACATTGAAACCCGCATTCAAAACGTGTTAAAACTTTAAGGGTTATTTGCATCATTGTGCGATGTGTAAAAAGTAAATATTTAGAGAAGTTATCTTCATTTTACGCGTTAATCGATAAGATTTGAAACAATTTATCTGCCAATAGACTATCGCCCTAAATAAATTGACGGCAAACAAGGCAAGTGTAATCCAGCCCAATGGAAGAAGTCACATATATTTCCTTTTATATGATAATAGTTAATTGACTTCTTGTATTACCTAAAAGATTTTTTCATCAGTTACGGGAAATTCTTTTCATATTTCATTTCATTTCGTATTTAGTTTTTTTTTCAAGAATAAAAATGAGTTAATAATGTGTGCAACGAATATTGTTTTTTTCTAAAGAATGTCCTCTAAATCGTTATTTACGACGAAATTAATTAGAAATTCTAAAATACCTCTTCAAACTCGAAACACAAAACTCTGTTACCCATAATTCTTCGGAAATTTAGATAGCATACGGGACCTCGCGACCAGGAAGTCTCCGCAGAGATACGAGGCGTACGAAAATAATTCTTGCAAAATCAGGAAGCCCGACGAGTGCATAGTTTATTGAAAAACCGTCAAACGACACAAAAAACACAAATATGATGTACTGGATAAGGTACTTTAGTACCAAGGTAAGTGCGACAAAGAATTTAATTAGATGGTTCCTTAAGAGCTGCTATATAGTATGAACATGTGCAAAAAATAAATGGAAGATTAAAGACGGCATGGAAGCTGTAAACAAGGCAATAATCTGGCGAGGTCTGAGAGAAAAATAATGAGTTGATAGGTGAATAGGTTTGCTTAACCCCCACTTAGTTTGGGGTCGATTCCTAAAACTAAGGAACGTCGTTTTCCTCTACAAGAATATGGTATTTTTTAAGTTGATATTTTAATATTCAATATTATTCATGCACTGGTCACGCGTGCGCAAGATTACACTTTAAAAAGTCAGCTTTCGCGAGCCACTTCCGATACTTTAGTCACGGTATTAGAAGTTCGAAAGAAGCTTGAAAGGGTGAAAGTTGTCTCCAAAATGTAATATGATTAACCGGCTCTCTTTCCACCCTTATTAACAGACCTTGGAAGAAAATTTGGCTAAAAGTTTTATAGGCAAACTTCGTTATTTTGATGGTCTGTTGATTTTTTTTTTGAAACCCTGACCAGTAGCATTCGCCTTTACTTCAGTCCGAAAAGTTTTGAGATAATGGAATTGAAAGGTCAATGGTTTATTGGTACCTCAAATACTGCATTGAAAAATCAATCAAAAGTAGTATAAAAATATGTGGATATAAAAAACTGCGTACAAGAGAAAAGAATACTTTTTGCTTTAGTTATATTTCGTCTATTATTTTGAATTATAGTGAATATATTTGTGCTATTTTTGAACAATGTTGGATAAACTTCGTTCATTAAACGATCGCTGCGCTCGTGCATGAGTAAAGTGGAGTTTATAAAACCTGACAAAACGATCCACTTGACTATAAGACGTGGTGAGGTCGTTTACTTTTTTTTTAAAGCGGAAACTAGATTAACGGACTACCCTGTATAACCGTCTAAAAATGGGACCTACTCGAAATAGCACAGACAGCGGC